TTGGCTGATTTTAGTATTACAACATGGTGAAGAAGTTCAATGAGAAAACAAGTAATGCAACATTTCAAGAAACAGGTGATAAAAGTAAAAAATTGCAGTTAGCCCTCAACAAATGTTAGACAAATTTGCATTTAAAATCCCTCTTCCTGCTTATATCATTTCAATGTTGTACAAAGGAAAGAAAGGTTTTTATCAGTTATTTCCTGCTGAAGTCCCCTCATTGACCAAATGATAAGCTTACTTGCATGGAAAAAGATATTACACATATGCTACTCGGATTACTCAAAGCTTAAAATCAAGTCATAAAAATTTGTTTTGTAATTTAGCAAAGAGAAAAAACTAGATGAAATATAAAACTTTAAAGCAAAAATGTTAAATTCAGATTCCCTTAACACTTATGAGGATACCAATGACAACTTCATATTTATATAAATTCAAAGTTTTAGCAGGAGACCATTTATAAAAGATTTCTAAGACAATTTTTGTCAATGTTAAACATCTTGAGATCCAGAAAATAGATTTCAAAAATAAAACACTAGTATTAATCTTTTGGCATATACGCAAGTATGAATTTGTGTGTGTGTGTGATTTAACTGAAATCAGTAACTTTTTGTTGTGTAACTTGTACATAGATTAATGTTGTGTGCGTATGTGTGTGAGAGAGAGATTTAACCAAATTCATCTAATTCAAGTATGAAATTTAAATTTGGAAATATTAAATGTATTTTTATATAATACTAAAAACGTTTTCTTAAACCGGGACCTTTAAAACATTCTTTAGTAGAATTACTTAGTTATTAAATAAACTAAGATAATTGTCAAACTTAAAATTAAATCTTAACCTTTAGCACTCTGTAGGTGACTATTTTCGCCAAGCAAAATGTTAGTCTTGCCAATGCAAGCTGAATTTGAATTTCTTGGTTATGTGGTCATATCCTTCTATGGCAACATCTAAAACAATCTTGGCTGAAAGTGAGAGCCAGGCTACTGCAACTTCAAATATATAGAATATATAAAACACTATATTTTGATGGGATTCCATATACAGGAAGTAATATTTATAAATGATGCAGAGTGCTAAATGTAAATGAACATACTTGGTTTTGTAAGAGGATCAACAGTCCTAGCATGGTCTGTGATATAGGATTTTTGTTTGTTTATTGTATGCGTTGTAGTTCAATTTCTGCATAAGCAATGCAGAAATGACTCCAGGTAAGATTACGTATATATTAAATTTGTACATGCTGATACAAACATTACGTAAGATTACGTATATATTAAATTTGTACATGCTGATACAAACATTACGTAAGATTACGTATATATTCAATTTGTACATGCTGATACAAACATTACGTAAGATTACGTATATATTCAATTTGTACATGCTGATACAAACATTACGTAAGATTACGTATATATTCAATTTGTACATGCTGATACAAACATTACGTAAGATTACGTATATATTCAATTTGTACATGCTGATACAAACATTACGTAAGATTACGTATATATTCAATTTGTACATGCTGATACAAACATTACGTAAGATTACGTATATATTCAATTTGTACATGCTGATACAAACATTACGTAAGATTACGTATATATTCAATTTGTACATGCTGATACAAACATTACGTAAGATTACGTATATATTCAATTTGTACATGCTGATACAAACATTACGTAAAAGATTACGTATATATTCAATTTGTACATGCTGATAAAACATTACGTAAGATTACGTATATATTCAATTTGTACATGCTGATACAAACATTACGTAAGATTACGTATATATTCAATTTGTACATGCTGATACAAACATTACGTAAGATTACGTATATATTCAATTTGTACATGCTGATACAAACACACAAATCCAAAAGCATTTTGATTCATTTCTCTCATCTATCCAATAGTGATATTTGGCTGGAAGGAAAAGTTCTTATGGTTTGTAGAACATTAAATTTATTTAGAAACTACAAGAACTTTCCTTCCATCCAAATAAATCATTTTATTTACATATGTATATAGATATATCACTAGATGTACATATTAAATATAATTTGTTAAAACAGTTCAGCTCTATTACATCACAGAAGGAAATCATTACCTTCCTCACAATTGTTAGATGAATAAAAGCATAAAAATATATGCCTGAGAACACTGATTATTTCTCTCTGCTAGAGCAGAAAACAACATATCAATAGTACTGTACAGAAAGTTTGATAACACTGACAAAACTTGATTATTTCCTCACAGAAATATATATATTTTTTTTTATTTCCTAATAAAAAAAATCTTGGCTGAACCAGGACAAATTTGTATTTGTACTGTATTTTACATGTAAGAAGACTATTCATACAATGTAACTTATTTTTCATATTTTTTAAACGGACTGTATATAGATTTTAAGACCAAATATGTTCAAAGTCTTTAATATCTAAGAAAATTAAATACTATCTTTCAGTATAAAAAGACTAACATACACACTTTAATATTATTTTTAGATCTTGTAAATAGCTGGCTTTTCCCCAGGTGTTCATTTTTTTTTTGTAATCTGCTCTACACACTCCCTCTTCTGACATAAGGTGATTGGTACCATACTTATTTCTCTTAACTGATCTCAAACTCTTTCTTGATTGTATATAAACACCCTGTCACTCGTAAGTTTTTTTTGTATTTTTTTTTTAACTTTTTGCATAAATTAAAAAAAAATTTAAATGAAATTCAGCTTTGTCTTTTTTATGAAAAAAAAAAAAAAAAAAAAAAAATTATCAAGCTATTTTAAATGTCCTTTATTACATCCTCTGTCTGTGTGTGTATAATAACAAAAATTTACAAATGAATTTGAATTCTATGTGATTATTTGCCACATATTGATTATTTATAGGTTAGAAAATTTATTTAAATTTTGTACTGAATATATAAATGAATAACTGAGAAAAATTAGTTAACTATCAATTTAAATTTGAAGGTACTAGCAAAAGATTTACTGTATTACTGAGAAGCCATTTTTTAAATTTATCAAAATTGAATCAAGTGTTTATAGCATTATTTTCTTTTGAGGTATCACATGTTTTAAACCTTAATTTCATTTGGCCATAACCCACCAAATAAGAACCATTGTCTATCTGGCACCAACCTTCCAAGGCAGATAAGTGTTTCAGTGCAAATGCCCAATGTGCAGGTGTCTTGCAGGTGCAATGTAAGTAATAGCTAAACTGTAATTATGTAGACTAGGCTCCACAAACAGAATGCAGTATTATGGAGGGAAAAAAAAAAAAAAAAAAAAAAATCACTACCAACATTTTAGAAAGTGGGGAGAAAAAAAAAAGCATCAACAGCACTGTCAAAATGGAGGTAATTTTATTCAGTAATTAGGTACATGAAGGTGTATCTACAGCACACAGCAATGGACATTAGCATTCACTCATTGCCAACACACAAGGAGTTGATGAAAGTGGTCATGCAGCAGCAAGAATTGAGTCTATAACAATTATTCAAGCTGCTTCTCCTTTGTTTATTACATACAAAAGGAATGGCCAACTTATAAAGAATATTTAGGGCAGCAGTTAAGGAGCAAACAATAGTTGCTCCAGTTAAATTATTATTCTATAAAAATTAAAGAGTAAAAAAAAAACAACTAAGAAGTTGCTCTGCATGTGTCAGCTCAAAGTTGTTGCCTAAATGTAGTTTAGAGGAGATGATTAGCTTGGAGAAAAATGGCTCTGGTAAGAATTGTAAATAATCAATTTCTAACAAAAGCTGCGGTAAGAATCAAACTGAAGAGAAAGAGAAAAGAAAAGATCACACAAGTGAAAAGAATTTCAAAATTTACTTTATAATTCATGGAACAAATAATCATACTTGCTTATTTCTCTTCATAATCCAATTTCCATACAAAAATTACTTGTATACTAAAAAGGAATTTAACTTGGTAGTATTATTTTAATATTTATTTTATCAATCTCATTTTTCAAAAGTTAAAATTTGACTAGGAAGAGGGAAAAAATTGTTTCTTGGCATAGAAAAATTTGAAATTAACTATGAATTAGGAAATTAACAGTTGGATACATTTTTAAGTCACAGTTATTAAACAGCTGTTAAAACTTCACCAGAAACTTTTTCTAAAGATGTCTTGAAAAGAAGCATAAAGAAAATATCAATCTTCAACCCATTTATACCTTTTTTTCTTGTATGATTTTATTAATTTTTCTGTTTAAGCATTTTGTACCCTTGTTCCCATTAATATAATGGAAGAAAAACAGGAAAATAATTAGTCTGTTTTGAACCATGTGAATAGACAATACAAATCTGTACCTTGTCTGGTAACATCCAGCATTGTTGGTTGATATTAGTACCCTTCAAATTCACTAAAGATGAAGAAATTTCCATATCTTAGAATATTGTACGTGTTCTATCAAACAAATTTTTTTTATGATAGTAAGAAATTAAACAAAGAAGGGACCAAAAAAGAAAGATAAAAAACAAAGAGAAAGTAAGATTTTTAAAATTTCATTTTTTTATCTATGCTGAAGAAGAAAAGTTTTGGAAGGATCTCTCCCTATTTTAAGTCATTAATTTTCTATAACATACTCTCTAAATAAAGAGAGAGTAGCAGTCTTGTTTTTTGCATATTTTGAAAAGTTTTTGCATTTTTTTTTAACACTTTTAAAAATCTTTTTATTGTTGTTGATATCAGATAGTGTAACTTTAAAAACAACTCAATCCAAAATGCTTATTCACAGATGGAATAAGAAGCAAAATTGTTGTTAAAGTCAGATTTTTTTTTTTACCAACAGGAAAATATAAAGCCCAACTGAATCAGTTCTTAGAATGACTCCTCAATTCTTTGGCTGAAAGTTTTCATGTTGAAGCAATTTTTTTTTTCTTGGAAATTTAAAAAAAAAAAAAAAAAAAAAAAAAAAAATTCACATTAGATTTACAAAAAATGTTGTACAGAATGATGAATAGAAGTCCAATTCAGTTTAACATTCCTGGTACTCCCAAAGATCTTTCTCATAGCCTTCATGCACATGGTCTAAAAGTACTTTGCGTCGACTCTCACAATACCTGAAAAATGAAACACGGATTAATATCACATAGCACTCTGCAAACACATTTCAAACTATATTCACTCAGCAACAGGAAAGCATAACAATTCTGACAATTTTCAGTTTAAGAAGCATATTTACAATAGCTATAGTTAAAAAAAACAAAATCTAATATAAAATCTCAGTTGACATTGAGGCTAACTTTTAAAAGTAGCACACTCTCCTGACAAATTTTTGAAGCTTTTCAGTTTTATGAGGGAAGTCTGGAATCAAAAGCACATCACAAAGCGTGTGTGTGTGTGGGGGGATATCACACATTAATGTGCTATAGAAACAAAAAAATGTTCTGAAAACACTCACACACAGAAGTATGTTTCAGATCTATTATGGTGAAAGTAGCAATGAATATTTTACTAACTAAACTTACCTTTCTCGGAAAGTCAACACAATTTGGCAATGGTACCTATGTCATCAAGCAACTCCAGGAAATTGTGGAGAGGATCTATGTTGATGACATAGGTTTTTCATAACAATAATTGTAAATAAAAAAAATTAACATTCTTTACCAAGTATTTCAAAAAGTAGGACTTAGGATAAAATTTTCCAAAACAAAAACATATCTGGAATTGGAATGAAAGCAGTGATGATACCCTAAATCTATCATAATTCAGAATGTGGAATTAAATACTAAACACTTCAAATACCTCATCATATATAACAAATTTAGTATAGGAGGTAAAGAAATTGAATGTGGAATAAGCCATTCTAGTCGTAGTTTTGTTCAACACTATAAGATACTGTAAAACTAAGACATTAACCTAAAAACTCAAATCATGTTCTTAAATAACCTTATCAGATCTAGACTCATGGACGTCAGTCAGAAGTGTCTAAACTATCAGTTATATACAACAGTTTTCTCATATCAATGATTAAAATTGGCCCTTTGGGTCTTAGAGAAGGCTGCACTTTGTCAGATCTCACAGACTGGTGGATATGACTTTACCAAATATCACTTTAAGACTTTCAAAAGCAGCACTAACTAAAATAGCACATAACTAAAAGAGGAAAATATAATATATCAAAATATTCACTTTCCACACTATCTTTAACAAAAGGTTAGAAAGAAAATTTCCATTAATACTAGAAATAATAACAGCTAGTGAACTTCAAAAGTTTATTTTCCTGAAAATCTGTTTTCAGAGAATGATTTTATGAATTTCAACCAACAGTAATACTAACTGTATGGCCAAGGAATGCTGAATATTTCCTGTACGGAAATGGTTAATCTTACCATTTAACGAAGCTTATATTAATTTTACAGAGACATACACAAATATATTTTGACATTTTGAATATTTAAAGAATCAATTGAACTTAATTTAACATGGCAACCAGTTGGAGAAAAACTTTATGTGCATGAACAGAGTGAGATACTATCAAGTGAGCTCGAAGAGTGTGTGACTCATATCTTCATCTTGTGCATTTATTTTTTTTCAGATGACTAAAAAAGAAATCCCATTTTGTCAATTCTTTATGGTACATATTTAGTCCCTTGCAACTTGTAGCATTTTACAAAGCTAAAACTGTTACTGAAATGGTGTGGGCAAGACAACTGCGGCTAATGTGTACCTTAAAAGATATATTCTAATCAAAACCACATTAATCAAATATAATAACTTGTAGGAAATGATATAATTTGTCTCTCAAATTTTAGTCTCATTTACAATTTCTAATTTACACACATTTTAATTAAAATATAAGATACAATAAAAATGCCATGAATTTTTAAAAAAATTAAATTAAAACTATTAGACTGGGTGCCAGTCACTCAATTTAATTTTTTTAATAAAAAGAACCCTATGTTATGCATATTTTCTATATTCGGAAATTTATAGACAGCACATGATAGAGAGAGAGTGTACGCGAGAGAGAGTGTGTGCGATAGAGAGAAATTTACAAAAACATGGATAATAAACAGATATTAATGTTAAATATTTTTCAAATCATTAACATGTAGATTAATTAGTTATGAGACTTGGCTCAACCAACAAAATTGTAAAAAGTTTCCAATGTTTGGTTAGATTTTGGACAAGTAACTTAAGCTGAAAATTTTTCTCTAGCGCCTTCATAAGAAAGAAAGAAAAAAAAAAAAATCAATTACAAGATATGCATTTTCATGTGCTTTGTAAATGGATAGCAGAATCTCATAGTGAAAGGCTTGGCAAAAGGACAAATACTGCTATGGGTTACAAGGGATAGGTTGTGGAGAGCCATGATCATGCACATCCTGAAGGGATATGGTACAGAGAAGAATCATCACGAGAATGTTTTCTCCAAATACAATTTTTTTTAACTCTCATATACAGAAATGTAAAGATTTTTCAAAATTAAAATTAACCATTTTATAATTAACTCAAATCTCAACAATACTAACAACCATAGGACTTAGACATTTACTTACCTATATTTGTCTTGCACTTTCTGTTTAATATCTGCTAGCATGTCTGAAGTGATGTCTCTCTCAAGATATTCAGATAACTGTTCTGTGGCAATCTCTAAATCCTTTTGGTTTTCCTTCAAGTGTAAAATCAAAAGTATTATATTTTGATAAAGTAAAGAGAATTGCATTCAATATTATAATTTCCTCTTTGGCAAGAATTATTATTCTAAGTTGTAATGAATTTATAAGATTCTAACAGTTTTATACAAAAAGAAAGTTTGAGAAAATTTTGTTTTCTCCTGAGAATGCTAAACAGAAAAAAAAAAAAAAAAAGAACTTACTTCAAATATAATGGACTGATTATTCTTCTTTAAATAAAATGCAAATACATATGTGTACATAAGTGTCTGACGGCACTGACATAGTACATCAACTGCTTTCTTCAGAAACTGGACTTCAATCCATGACATGTTGTGCTGTTGCATTTCTTCCATCTTCACCTTAACCAAGGCATAGAGCTTGAAGATAGAGGAAAAAATATAGTCTATATATACATTATATATATATATATATATATATATATATATATATATATATATATATATATATAAAACAAAACATTTTGTAAAGAACACAGCATACATTTCAGGCAACAAGGATAATATGAAAAAAAAAATATAAAAAAAAAGAATAACTCACTTTGTGTTCAAATTTTAAACTCTGCATATGATTCATGTATCGGTTGCAATAAAACAAGTAACGTTGTAATGCTGCCCGTGATTTCTAAAATAAAAATATTAAAGATTTGGAATAGATTGAAATAAAAAGATATATATATATATATATATATATATATATATATATATATATGTTCAGTTAAAGTCATTATTCAATTTTCTTTTAACAATTAATTCTGTAATAGATCTTAAGGTATTTATGAGAAAATATTACACTTGAGCATTGAGAAAAAAGTTATTGAAATTCAAAATTAAGACATGTACCAGAGAGGAGGATCAACATTTATCAAAGCATAGATAATTGATTATTTCTATTATTGCAGTATGTTTGACTAAAATTGATCTCATGAGAAAAATTGTTGAATTATGTAAAAATAAATAGATACAGGTCACAGAGTAGTTGTAAATTTTATTTTCTGCCTACTATAGAGATTAGGGTTAGTAAATTCTGTTTATGTAGTAAATGAAGAGGTTGGTTTTTAAGAAATTTGAAGCAAACTTTACTATAGTAAAGATGAAATTTTGCAAAGTATGCAACATTTTTTTCAAAAATTATTTAATATACATTACTTTATAACTTAAGAAGATATAACTTAAGATATTAAGAATCTATATATCTATACATACACGCAAAAAAAACAAAACACACACATTATATATATATATATATATATATATATATATATATATATATATATATATGAGAGAGAGAGAGAGAGAAAAACAGATTCTGCTCTTAATTATCAAGTTAGATTCAGGTCTCCAGAGTCATTACAGTAGCAAACTTCAATTGCTTTCCATACTTCATTTTTAGAGCAAAAATCTATTGAGCTATTTTGGCTTCAGGATTTTATTAAATAATTTTTTTTATTTTTCCTCTTTAAATTTATACATGAGTATGCTGTAATCGGGATTTCATTATCTTAACATTTATAGAGTTTCTTCATAGTAATTTGTATGAAAAAAAAAAAAAAGATTCCACAATGTATGCACAGAAAAAAAAAAAACTTTTTAAAAGTCAGATAAAAGAAAAACCAGAATAAAAAATATCTGAAGTTTTTCTTAGGAAAAGGCTGGGAGAAAATTTATGCAATTTGAAAAGCTGTGGTCACTTAACATGACTTGTACAAAAACTGCTGAAAAAAATTTATCATCACATGTGAGAAAATAATTTTTTTTCATTGATATAAGAAATGTATACAATGCTAAGATGATTAAAACCAAATGAATAACTTTTTAAGAAAATTATCTAGTTTCTATAGAAAATTTGAATATTTACTTTAAATAAAAAACACTTGACCATAAAACATGCAACTATTATGTAAGGGTCAATTAGATTTATAATTAAAAAAAAACAAAAAACAACTCATCAAAGTTTAAAAACAAAGAAATTAAATGTTGCTATTATTTAGTTCAGTGGCTTGGGTGGAAGAAAAGACATTGATCTTACCTCCTGAGCATCCCTAGCTTTCTTTGCCTCTTCTTCATCAAATCTATTGCAGTTGTACCTGGAATATAGATATTTGAATAAACAACAGTAATTTTTTTTTTATCATTTCACCCCAACCAAGGCAGCAATAAAGCTACTAAGAGGCAAGAGGTTACTGAATGCTAGAGAATATTGGGACATACACACACATGTGAGCAACAAAAAACAAAAACACTATTAAGGAGATAGAACAATAAAAGAACAACAATTAAGACAGAAGATAACGAATAACACTGGATTAAAATTTTTGAAGATGACTAAGAAACAAGAAGGCAAAAGAGTTCCATAGGAGAAAAGTACAATGAAAGAGACTATTAATACAGAAACTACAGTTGCATCTAGCCATTTTAACTGTAAAATGATGAAACCTTGCTGCCTATTCAGTACTTAAATTCATAAAGTCTAGGTAACAGAGAAAAATTCACCTGAACAATTATTAAGTATTTATAGAAAAAGAACAAGATACATTATAGTGGTGGGAAAGTGACATTGCAGGTTCTTCAGATTTTTTCAAGAATCTCTAAATATATAGCAGGAGCACAAGACCAGATGTGGCAGCAATATTCAAAGCAAGGGTGAATGGTAGACTTATAAATATGTAAGATGGATTTTGGCAAGAAAAATTGTTTAGCAAAATACAGGGAACCAGCAGACCTAGCAACTGATTCAATATAATCCTTCTACTTCATGTCAGTGGAAAACATTAGCCCAAGAAGGTGCAATGAGTCAATCTCCTGTAGGTTAGTATCAACCATGCTGATTGACATTAAAAAAGGTTTCATTTGGGAGGTGTTAAAATTAACTTGCTACAGTTAACAGATTGTAGGTCAATTTTGAGATCAGCTGCCAATTTGACCTTATTGAACCAACAAAACTTACTATTAAGACACGAGTAAATAGTGGTGTCATCAGCATATATACACATTTGAAAATGTCATTTATGAAAATTCGGAACAATGTAAGTCCAAGGATAAGAGCCACAGTGAACACCTGCATTAATGCAAAATATCTAGAAGAGTTGCCATTCAAAATACATTTCCTTTTGTGATTTGATAAGACTAAATCAGTTCAAAAATTTGTCCAGAAATATAACATTTCAACTTGTGAAGAAGACAACTACACCAAACCCTGTCAAATGCCTTAGATATATCCAAAGCAACAGCCCGAGGTTCACCATTCTGAAGCTTAATAGACTCTCAACAATAATCATTTATACATCAGCAGTTGACCTAGAGAAGTCATTATTTATCAGTAAGATGGTGAGATGCTTAACGAATTCAGAGTTAGTTAAAGCCTCTAGTACTTTGCCAAAAAGAGAGATTGTTAATAGGCCAATAGTTACAAGGATCAGATGGTTTGCCAGAGTTCTTAAAAACTGGAAGTACAGAGGATGATTTCCAGCAAGCAGGAAAACAAGAATCAGCAAGGTATTTATTGTAGAGAGAACAGGAGCCAGTTTGGGAGGGTATTTCTTAAGAACTATTGCATGGATACCATCAGGTCCACGTACTTTATGAGAATCCAGCATAGACTGAGTTATATGCATATCACTCAATAGAGACTTGGTTTTAAATGGAAAATCAGGCAAAGATACTCCAGATGAGTTAAGAGTAGAATTGGAAGAGAATTTATGAGCAAAACATTCTGATTTATAAGCAAATGTTAACACTACAAATTGGGTTAAGAGAGGAGAAACAGACGACTTACACTTATTTAATACACTATTACAGAACCACCAGTAGTCACAAGAACCAAATTTGTTAGCAGCTATATGGTGCCTCATTCTATCAACTAACAAAGATTTGCTTTTTTGAAGACAATTATTGCAAGCAGACACAAATAGATGTCTATTGTGATAAGAACTATCACAATGGCACATCCCAAAAAAGTAATTCCTATGGGTTATAGCAGCTGAATAGGCTGGTGTGAATCTAAGAAAAGATCATGGTTTCACCTAACATTTACAAGAAAGTACAAACATATCAATGCCGAGTTTTAATCAAGAAGAAAACTGTGGCATAATTCTCAAGAGGAAGGTTAAGAATAACAATCCAAGGAGTGTCTTTAATAAAATCATGAAATGAATCCCTGGTAACAGAAAAAAGTCTTGTGAATAGGAAGTTCCTTTCTAATAGATGACTCAACAAGAAATACCAACAGATACTATAGAGTGATCTGAATTGCCAAGAGGAGTGATGCTCTACAAGAGCTAGAAGAGGAGGTAAGGAACAAATCAAGTGAAGAAGAATGTTGATCAGATTTATTAGGGAAACAAGTAGGGAAAATCCACTGAGAAAATGGAAACAAAGTCAAATTACTGGCAACATCAGTAATATTAGAATGCTTAAGCTACTTAGCATTAAAATCACTAAACACAAAAATGTGCACAGATGAATGTAGAGAGAGACATTTCTTTATGAATAATTTTGTTTAATATATTACAGTCCTGAGAAAAAGGAGAGTGATAAAAGGAAAAAGATATCACTAACAGAGTGCAATAATAAAAGTCAAAAACACAAGAAAGAATCATCTGGCAACTCAAGCGACAATTCCCTTGAAATTGGGAGATTTTCCTGAATATAAACACCAAGGCCCTGCATATGTATCCTAGAAACTTTTCAATGAAGAGGAAGACCTGGAGAATATTTCAAGAAAAACTGGAATGAATGCCACGGACATTAGAGAAAGAAAGTTTGAGGGAAATAGGTGATCTTTTATTTATTGGTTTACTCTATTTCTTTTGATTGTATCTGCCATAAGATTTTGTTTTAAAAAAACATACTTCATAAACTTTGGGGAACTACAACTTGCAATAAAATAGTCTTTATTATTTTAAGTATTACAAAGTATATAATTGCATAACACTTTAATTATAGAAGCACTTAATAAAGTTAATGTACAAGTGAAAAAAAAAAAAAAAAAACTTACCAGGAAGAACCATGAGGCTCCCATGGCCCTAGACACACCCAGCAGAAATCTGCTTTGCAATTCTGATTTTTGCATACCATGTGATTACAGCCCCCATCTTTTTCTATAGTCACATGGCATTTGGGACATTCCTGAAAATGAAAATTAAATTTGTATTACAAAATCTTTCTATATTTCTGAGATGAGGTATTGTAACTATTTACATTGTTTGGACTGTTGTCCTCATCTTTATCACATTTGGCTGTTGTACACTCTGGCCTTCTTCTTGAATTTCAAATCAAACCCTTTAATCCATGGGGTAGAGTGTTCAAATCCACATGCCATGCCTTTGGGTATCAATGTAAATAGAGTAAATACAACAAAATATGACAATGATTCATTGGCAAAACATATATACATACAAGTAACCCAGCTAACCTAGAAATTCTAAGGAGGGTAGTAGAACCCTGATGGAGGAAAGACTATTGAAGCATCTTGGTAACAACAACACTGTGCATACACCAAGGCAGACCCAAACAGACCTGGATACAGCAGCCCGCTGCAGCTCTCAGGCAAACCCTCGGTCATCTTGGATCCTCTCCTTGCCACTGAAACCGTCTCTCTGAGAGCTAAGTCCATGTGGCTAGGACTGTGCAATCCTACCACCACCTCAAACAATTCTGAACACGGTCTCTGTCTTTCCTATCATTTCCCTTTTTCTTTCTCTCAAAAACAGGGACAGGCATAGGATAATGCTGGCAGCACTTAGTTCAAAGCCTGCACGCGGGTGGAGTAAGCAAGATAACCGTTTTCTAGTGCCCCTGGGACTACACATCATCTCATGTTCTCCTCGTGTGACTGGCAGAGCTTTTTCAAGGAGGGGAACTGCCTGCCTCACATGAGGAGGGGCCTATAAAAGGTGGCCTAAAAGATGCTGGTTCCAACCCAACTGGCCAGGAAATCGCACCTGGTTGGTTGTCCCTTATTGCAGTCAACAGAAAATGGAAAACTTTTGTTCTTGTTACTCAGAATATACAAACCCTACTAGACTGTCCTGATCATATTAGACTACACCAAGGAACTGTGCTGGTCGCATCTGAACTCAAGTGCTACAACGTAGATATCGCTGCACTCGGAGAAACAAGATTCCCCAATGAAAGTTCTCCGAGGAGGGCGAGAGATATACATACTTCTGGAAAGGTCTTCCCTCCAGAGAAAGTAGTCCACAAAGTTGGGCTCGCTGTTCACTCAACACTTCTAAGGAAGCTCCCTTCTGTTTCGACTGGCAAAGTGAAAGACCCTCAGAATTCCTCTCTCCAATAATGTCTACACAACCATTTTCAGTGTGTATACCCCAACCCAGGATGCCAACAAAGAGATAAAAGATGCCTTCTATAAATCTCTCAACAGCCCTGCAAGTAGTACCTCAAACAGACAAAATCATCTTCCTTGGAGATTTTAATGCCCAAGTGGGTTCCAACACATCAGTCTGGGCAGGAGCCATTGGTTTGCAGGATATTGGGGAAATGAATGCTAAATGACGGTCTTCTAAGCCTCTGTGCCGAGCATCAGTTTGTGATTACCGATACCATTTTTTTCAACACTATCAAATACAAGTGTTCTTGGGTGCATCTGCACTATCGGGTATGGCACCTATTGGATTATGTAATCGTCTGTCAACGTGATTGAAAAGACGTCCTTCAAACTCACGCCATGTGTGGAACGGACTGCTGGACCAATCTGTGTATGATTTGCTCTCACATGAATCTCTCGCTTCAGTCTCCAGCTCGAAAAACCAAAGTCACCCCTACAATCAAAGTTACCTGTCTTGCACAAGCATCAGAAAAATGCTAACTTCAAGCAAATTTACTCAATGTCTGTCAATCACTCCCAGCACCTCCTACCGATGTTATTGATCAGCAAGAAATTGACAGACTATGGGATTCCATGATCCTAGCTATTCCACAAGCAGCTGAAACTACACTTGGAAAAACTCAGTTTGGTTCAATGAACCCATGGAAGTTATGCAGCCACTTCTGAAGGCAAAGAATCAAGCACAGGGCACTCACCTTGCACATCCACACTCTCGTACTCTCAAAACTGGCACCGGCTACAAGCAGAAGTACAATGGAAACTTTGGAAAGCTCAAAACAACCGTTGGCTCCACAAATCTGAAGAAACTCAACATTTTGCCAATGAAAACAAAACTTATGAGTTTTATGATTCCATTAATCATATCTTCAGCCCTTCTTACAATGCCATAGCACCTGTTCGTTCAGCTGATGGCTCTACTCTGCTCAAGGAAAAAGAAGAAATATTAGCACGATGGGCTTCAAGGAACTTTTGAACAGAGACATGCCAATCGATTCCTCAGCTTTAGACAAACTTCCGACTCTCCCAGGCCACCACAAGCTGGACTGTTCTGACATCAGATGAAGTTAACGTCATAAAATCCATAAGAAACAAGAAGTCCCCCGGTGATGATGGCATTCTGGGAGAGGTGTACAAGTATGGCAGACAGCACCTTGCATGATATCTGCATTCCTTTTTTGATATGTGCTGGACTAGCAGAATAATCCCTAAGCACTGAAAACATGCGAATATCATAAGCATTTACAAGAAAGGTGATCTCTCCATCTGCAGCAACAGCAGAAACATTTCCCTCCTAGATGTGGCCAGGAAGAGTCTAGCAAGTATTATGCTTCGCCGTCTTCTCATCTTTCTGACTGAGCGAATTCTGCCAGAGTCTCAATGTGGCTTCAGACCTAATGTCGTACACTCAACATGAGATTCGCCACTCATCTACTACTCAAAAAAAGCAAGGAACAACAAAAAGAGATCAACTTTGATTTCATTGATCTAAACAAAGCGTTTGATACAGTCAATTAGGAGACTGTGGCTTTTGCTTGGCAAATTCGGCTGCCCACTGACTTTTCGGAGTCTTTTACGCCAATTTCATGAGGATATGCTTGCTAGAGTATCCATCTGGGGATCCTCATCAGTACAGTTCAGTGTGCATATGGGAGTTAAAGAGGGCTGTATTCTTGTTCACATGGTCTTCAACATCTATCTGGTTGCTGTGACTCTTCTCTCTTGGTTACATATAGAACCCAACAACGGAATATGTATCAGATATCACTTTGAGTGAAGCGTCTTCAATACGCAATGTCTCAAAGCTTGGACTGACCTCTACCATTCCTGTCTACGAACTGCAATATGTCAACGTTGCTGCCATAGTTTCTCATGAGGAACTCTCAATACAACAGTGAGACCTCATTGCATCAGATCTATTCTCACCTTGGCCTTGATATCAACCCAAACAAAACAGAGGTCATTCAAACAGCTTTTAAATGACATGATCTGGCAGCTTGGATGCATGTTGACGTCCCGTTGTCTAACATTAACTCATTCATCTACCTCGGCAGCATCATATCTGATAATGGACATATCAATGAAGACATCCTCTGGCAGATAAACCTTGCTTCTGCTTCCTTCGGGCGTCTCCACTTATGAGTCTTCTCTAACAGCAACCTGACTCACCACCAAAGTGGCTATCGAACTGTTGTCATTTCAACACAGCTCTATGGCTATGAATGTTGGAACCTGTATCACTGACAAATAAAACTCCTTGAGAAATTCCATATCTACTACCTTCGGTGAAACTTGCACGTTACTTGGAGAGATAAAATCCCCCACAGCAAAATTCTTCAGCACGTAGAAATTGTCAGCATTGAAGCCATAATCCAAAAACACCTACGTTGGGTTGGATGTGTGGATGTTGGGCCATCGTCTCTCAAAAAATGTATTCTTCAGAGACCTTGAAACCAATAGCCATCTACATGGAGGCCCACAGAAACGATTCCAAGACCATCTTAAGGGTGCTCTTATCTCTTGAATATTGACCTGAAACAATTAGAGAACCTCGCAAAGGATCACACCGGCTGGTAGTTTCTCTGCGTTGCAGGAGTTGCGTACTTCTAGGAGGAGAGATGAGGAGCACACAAAGAGAGGTAACGCCAGCGTCATCTGCAACTTGCTAATCCCACATCGAGATTGTTTCATGCAGATTGGACAGCTATCTCCCTTGGCAGCCTACAGAAGACGGATGGAATGTGTTATCTAGAATGTTCAAAAATCTGAACACCACCAGCACATTCAAACAATCAGTCACAATGACTTCATGCTAGCACAGCTATTGATGGTGTCAAATGTGATGTGTACCCAATTTCACCCACAAGGCTTAGGTCAACCTGCGGTGTAGTTTTCAGTCACTTTTCAAAGGTGCCGCATGCTGGGATTGTCCCCACTCCAGACCAATAACATCAGGAAGTGTCCTTCCTGACAAATCAAACATGGTGAGAAAGCAAACGTTCTAACTCTTTCACTATGCACCCTATATGTGTGCATATATATATATATATATATATATATATATATATATATATATATATTAGAGTGGCTGCTGACTCACAAAGCAAGTATGACAATCACTGACATGTCCAGTATGTAAGTTAAGCTCCTCCCCCCACAACACTGCATTCATCTGTTGTGTGAACAATGGTGGCTCATAAAGCCAGCCATCAATCTGTATTTCTTGTTACACATGTGGCATGTCAAATCATCTCCGATTGGTGGAAGTTGACTTTGAACATCATCACTTCCAATGTGTCTTTTTAAATGCCTTGTCATGCCTGACCTGGACTTGCACACACTGGTGCAGGTCAGGTCAGACCTGCCTTGGACAGACATATCCAATTGCATTGGGCACATACCCAGGTTGGCACCTCATGGCAATTTGGGGATGCCTTCCGAACCCCTCTTCAGTTCTGCATATTTTTGGGGTGCCTCATGGTAGATCTTGATGCCATCAGCAATACCAGCCCTTCAAGAAATCTGGTCTTCAGCTACAGTCTCTCAGTTATCTAGACCAATACTGCACTTCTAGAGAGAATCTTTAAGGCTATCTTTGTAATGAAGTTTTTGCTTGTGCTGTGGTCTTTTTTCCTCCCATTTCCATACATTGAGATGTGTGTGCGTGTATATAAATTAATATACAAGTTAAATTTTACATTGGATGCACACAAAATGAATTCAAAAGGTGGAGCCAACATGAAATGTCCTTTAATAATAAATACTGAAATCAAATGACCCTATCTAAATATTTCTGGCACTTAAAAGAAACCGATAAAACACCAACATGAAAATTAATAAGAAAAGCTAGAGCGTGTAGGTCATTAAATGACCTATGTCCTTTGTGCATACATAAAAAATTATACATTAAGTTTCTGAAAAATATAAATTTACTAAAAGAAATGAAAGCTTTTTGTATGCACTGTCAAGTATTTTCCGAAATAATTAATCTAAAAAAAAAAATATCAAGTAATAAGGAATAGAGATGAAACACACATTTTTATATCTGATCTTTAATTAATAATTAAATTCTAATATATTTATTTGTAAAAATACTGTAAAGTCTATTGGTTATTAGAAGGTTGAGTGGTACTTTAAATCTATTAGAATAAAATTTAAGTATTAATACGTCTTGAACATATTTAAATGACGTTTTTAGAAAGTCTGTGTATAAAAAATATGAATTAAGCAGATTTATGAAAATGCCTAAAATTTTTTTTTTATTTATCATTGAAAACCCAGACAACTCACTGAATAACGAAAGTATGTGTCTGTGAACAGACACCCCCACCCCACCACTTACTTTGTAAGTAACATATACTGGATACATAAGTTGCCTAGGGAAATTGAAACCCAACCACCCCTAAATTAAAATAGATTTTCTTTAACACCTTATAATATCAATATTGTCTGTGTTTATAAATAAGGTAGATTTCTTAGAAAGTTTATTCCTATCATCACTTGACAAGGGAACAAGACTTATGGTTTTTAAGTTTAATAATTAAATTTATAAATTTAGTTTCTGTTTTGAAACATGGAAATTGTCTGTGTCGTGATGGAATCATATTTTTAAAAAGAAAGTAATTTTAGATTGCTTGCATGTATGCGTGCATGTATGTATGTATACATACATACATACATACATACATAATTAAGTATAATAGACAATGAATGTCTGATCATGAGCCATTCTAATGATTTAATGAGCCATTTAATTTCTGGTGAAAATAAAGACAAAAATTGTCCAACTTTTGCATATATTCTTATTAAGTTGGTCCTAAGATTTCAGCTCATATGAACCATCCTCAGAGTGGTTATACAGCCATGAAACAAAGAAATCCACCATCAAAGATGATATTTTGTTGACAGAAGATTACTGTGTGACATTAACAGTTGTGGAATAGCATATGCAGATCGTAAGTTCATTATGTGGTTATATGATGTCATACCACACAATAGACTGAAGTATTACTGAACCAATGTCTAGATGCAATGTAATGTATTGTGAATAGTTTGAAATGTAATTTTGAGTGTGGGTTGCTTCGTTTTAATGTAGATGGCTGCCAATATCTGAAGGTTCTTTTTACTGTGTGTGTTATTGTCTTATCAACTAACGTCTAATATTATGTACATGGCTATGTTTTTAAGAAATGTTGCTTAATAGAATATATATAATTATTTTTTTTCTTTTTAGTTTGACTACTAAAATATTTTTATTGTTTTGAATCTTTAATTATTTTCATGTTTTATCATCTGCATTTTTATTTTATTATTGATATTTTTACTACTGATATTTTTTTATTATCAGATTATTATTGATTACCTTTAATATTTATTATCTTTTATTTTTATCATTAACATGATCCCTTTTTTATTATTACTATTATTGTTACTGTAGAAGTCAAATGAGTTAACTTCTAACATGGCTGTCTCCTTGTAAAGGCAGGCTACCTCATTTCTACCTCATTTATAGGAGAGTACCTGATACAGCAGGTGTATTAGTCTACTTTACTAGAATGGACCTGCCCAACACATTTGCACGAGTGGACTATTCACCAATATATCTCTCCATCAAATTACTCAGTGGAAAATTCAACTTGAAGTGACTATACCAGTCTACTTGTGTGTCAGACCACTTGCAAGCTAACCAATATTCTACAGTTACCATTTCTTCCTTATTTCTAATTTGTTTGTAAATGTGTGTGTGTGTGTGTATACAGTAATAAAAAGTAGGGTTTTTACGGGATTAAATATTTTTATATGTTTGTTAAATTTGCAATCTGTAGGGGAAAATTAGATGCTTTTTCAAATTGTTCTCGATTACATATCCTTTCTCTCATAAATGCCCCATTTCCTTTCATCTTTCCTTCCTTCTTTCTTTTTCTCCCAACATTTTTCCTGGTGTCTTTTTCTTTCTCTCTCTCATCTTCTCTTTACATGTGTACATAAAGTTAGTAAATGCAAACCAGATGATAAATTTTCATATATACATCAGCATTGCAAATTCGCTAAACTTTAAATTTGGATCGTATCATCATTTATTGTGTCTAATGTCACCACAAATGTATCCACACTTTTCCAGTGTCTAGTTGTTTAATTTAGGTCAATGAATCAGTAGTTGATTTATGCAACTGATAACTCATATTTATCTGTATCTCACTTATTTAAACAGTTATTTAACTTCTATCCTTTAAATTTTATTCCTCACCCTCACTTTAAGGCCTTTCCTGTTCTTCTATTACACCTCTATATAGAGCTTTTGCATATTTCTGTCTCATCCTTGTTTCTCATTCCCACACATATACTTTCACTGAAATTTTGTTTTTTTTTAACACCTGGAGATATATTTTCTGTTTTCTCTTTGAATTTGTAGGTCTGATGAATTGGATTGTGATTCCAATGTAATAAATTATAACCATGAAATATTAGTGTTTGAGCCTTTTATATTATATTCTTGTTCTGTCTTGCGAGCTCTACCTGGATTTTATCCTTGTGGAAATATACATACATACATATTAGGAAATGAATTAGACCGGATATTTTTAGTTTATTTGTTTAAAATAACCAAATAAAAATAAGCACATTTTTTTAACAGGATTTCTCAAATATTCAGGCCAATAGATATAAACAACCACAAATGCCTGCTTGGCTCTTTTGTGCCCACCCATTATGTTCTCCTGTCCAAACATTCATGGCCTCTACTCAGCTCATGTTCATACTTGAAAAGCTTAAGTTTAAATTTTAAATTACAGGTCAATGACCCAGTAAACCAAATGCAACACAAATTAGTCTGCAGTTTCATCTATCCTGATGAATTACTTATTACAAATTTCCAACCAACAAAGAGAGAACAATTAACACTAGCTCTCATATTCGAAAGAATATTAATTAGCTAGTGTCACTTGGAGAAAATAATACCTGCAGTTCAATAATTTAGTATTTTGCATACATATTTAAAAAGACCTTACACATAAATGAACAAAATTTCTAATGTTCTGAGAGAACAAAGTGGGAATCAATTTGCATCTTGTTATAATCTACTGTTACCTTTCTATATTCCAGATGTAAGTTGGTTTTACAGACGAAGGGAGGTAACTTACCTTAGTATTAGCAGCAATCCAGTTAGAAGTTTCACTATCATCATCACATTTTTTAATCCACTTCCTCAACCATTTGCACTTAACAGGATCATGCCAATTCTCTCCGCAATTGAAGCTAAAGCAATAAAATAAATACCAGCATTTGGAAAGATGCAACATTTAAACAGATTTTAAACAAATACAAAAAAGCGAATTCCACATATATGCATGTCTGAAATTTAATAACCAGGTTGTAGCAATACCATGTTAAGTAGTAATTTACACAAGCTTCAATTTAGTCATCAATGATAGATGGCTATCTCTTAAGATAGCAAAATTTGCTTAAGTCATGGAAAGTATTCAAATGACTTGAGCAATATTACTACTAATTAACATAGTTGCTTCAGTTTTCATATTGGATATTTTGAAATTTAAAGTACTAATCCAACATATTTATTACTATACAAATAAAGGATGGTGCTATGTTAGCAGCAATACTATGCTATTCTTCCAAGATTGATGCACTTGTCTTATTGGTGTACAAACACAAAAATACTCCCCTGAAGAATGTAGCTTCAAGCAACTAGAAGCACCCTCACACCTTTGCAACAACCGTATTGTGTGGAACCACTTCCATCAAAATTTACCAAAAATAAATAGAGCCTATTTTGTTTTATATTTGTTTATAATAAAAAGACAGTTCATAGCCATGAATGAAACATGACACATGTAAACAGCAAATTTTTAATTGAAAACAGTAAAAGACTTTGGGTTATACATTTCATTTGTTTTACTTGGATATAAGCTATATTCTGAAGAGATCATTTTACTCTTATCATATACAAGTCCTGCTTACTTCAATCAGTAAAGAAATAAATGTAGACTTACCAGAACGTATGTCCACAAAGACATGTCACTGGTTTAGTATCATAATGTGCTACTTTTACTGCGTGACCACAATCTGGGGCAGGACACCATCGAAGAAGCCGATTGCACTGATTATTTCATGTGGTGGTAGTAGGAGAAAGAAAAAAAAAAATTATTCATTCTATTTAAAAGAATTATTTAAAATTTCCCCATAATGAAATTATATTACATCTATGCAATTGTAGAAATTCTGCTGAAAAACTTATTATCAGAAAACTTTTATTTTTTAACCAACTCCAAGCAAGACAATACGAACGAGATACAAGGGGCCACTGAGAATGAAAAGATTTCAGAAAGAAGCAGAAACCCAATCCTAAACAGGAAAAGAGAAACCTCTACTCCTGTTCAAAAGGACTGGGAAGGTGTTTTATTTAGGAATTCAGTATGATAGGGCGCTGAAAAGTTCTTGACCTGATCAAGAAGGGATTAAAGATAAATTTTAATGTTCAGTCATTTTTTGAAAAACAGGCTAGGTTGAGAACTTTTCAGTACCTAGTAATCTATAAAAATCAGTATATATAAACAAGCATTACAAAATATTTTTTTAATAAAAACTTAAAACATCAGTTATGTTTTTTCCAAAAGAAATTAAAATACACATTAAAAACTGATAATAATGTATGTATTATATTATATACATTGATAGAAAGACAACTTTTAAACAGTAATCTAAAGTTAAAATTCAAATCAAACTTTATATGAATACACATGTTCATTTACAATTCTACAATATACTAAATTAAATACACATACCTCTACAAAGCTATTTGTGATTATTTGCTGATATTTTAATCTCACTTTAGCATCAGTTACTAGTAACCTGTAAAAGAAAAAAAGGGAGGGACAAGAACCAAATGAGATTCATTCTGGTTAAATTTCTTTATTAAAGCCAATCATCTTTTTAAGAAAATTTACAAGCAATATTCAGTATATAGAAATCAAAGCCATAATAAAAACTACTTATAATTTATCAACATTCAATTGTTGTTGTAAAACAAACCAGAATATAATTTTTTAATACTTCTATTTGACTTAAGTCACAGACAGCTGAGTAGATAAATTTAATATCTGCATGCAGTAAAGAAATATTTTGAAAAACAAATTTAAATTTTTAGTATCATTTACATTTTATTTACAGTATGAAGTGGCTTAAATTCCAGAAAAATTTGATAATCATGCAGAAGTTAAGGCTGTTCCCCTCCCCAAACTCATAATACACAATTTTTTAAGGTATATATTTGAAACTTGCATGGCGGCTATGAAAATATTAAATTTATAACTGTTTTAGTGTTTAAAAGTTACATTGAGAGAGAAAGAAAGAAAAACAAACATTTCCTATGTACTTTTGTGAGAGTTGATGTAGTTGAAAACTTAAATTTTTAAGATAAAAACTATAGTTTAAATACTTACATAACTGTGGCATCATCCACAAGAATATCACAACCATGAGCGGCACAGGAGATAGTTTGTCCCATTCCCTCATCCATCACTTTCGTTGTTAGATATTCCATCCAACATTGACTGCAGAAACGATGCCCACATTCCAAACCAGTCATATCCTTTAATACAAAAGAAAAAAAATAAAAGCTGCAAATGTCTTTAAAATTAAAAATACTATTAAAAAAAAAAAAAAAAAAAAACTAACACATGCAAGTTGAATTTTGAAAGAAACAGTTCCTTTCAAATTTAAAGTAATAATCAAAATAAATAATTTTAAGCAATACTATTTTAACTTGAAAGTCAGTTAATAAAAGCATGCATATTGTGTTTAAACTGTAAAAAGTAGCTTGATGAGGAAAATCAACTAGTTTCAGATAGAAGACATGGGGTAAAGTAGACTTGTGTCAAAACCATACATTAAATTTTCACTCAAAACAGTAACCAAAAATAGATGACTCCCAATTTTGATTAATAAATTAAAAGCTCAGAGCCTGCTGTGGGTAATGAATGTTAACTGGAGTAGATATAGCAAACTAGATATTTCTAAATTTAATGTAAAATATCATTGCAACCATTACAAACAAAAATATGTGAATCTTATTTAAAATGATTGTTTAAGTTTAAAATAATTTATAATTTAAAAAAGTATTTACAATTAAAATATGAATATTTCCCTTACTCCTGAGTAATATTTATTCTGAACTTAAAGAAAAAATTTGGTATATGTAACCAACAGAGCATAGAGTTAAATTTAAATCTTTTATTCTTACATCAATTTTTCTTTCTTTATATAGCTATAAACATTGTTTAACAAGCAATTTTAGAACTTCTACAGATAAATTACACATGTGAAAAACCAACCCTTTAATTGATCAAATAAAATTTAATTCAGTCTTCAGTCCTATTTTCAGTTTTCTAATTTTAGCTTATACAAACCAGTCATTTCCAGAAACAAATTTTAGAAGTCTAACCTTGTAAGATATTTTGAATACTTTATATGAATTCTGCAGCTTTAAATTCACTTTGTTTTACTGATGTACAACTGTTAGAAAAAACAAAAAACAGAAACAGAGCCATCAATATTGCAATTAGTGAAAATTTTATTTAAAAAAAAAAAAAAAAGCAATGTGTGGAATGGGAGAAATACCTGAAGTCTTGATAAATTTATTTCATAAATCCTTCATTTGAAACACTAATTTTAAGATAGTGTTATCAGGCATGTTCGGTTAAACATTAGAAACTAGCTATATTATCTATCAAAATATTTGTAAATAGTTAAATACATCCATGTTACAAAAACAGTTTCAAAGGAAACGTTTACATATAAACTGTATAATATAAATACTTACACTCTGTGGTTTAGACATCAAGCAAATTTCACACAGAATTTCACCTTGTTGTGACTGTGTCGAAGTAGGCCTTGGAATTTTCTGAAAATAAAAATAAATAAATTGAAAATATGGATGAGCAAGCTATCAAACAACAGGAATGTTAAAACTATTGATAAAATAATGTTCATTTTAAATACAATGAAGAAAATGTTAACAGTAGGCAAATTTTTAACAATATAGAAAAATTGCAACAACTAGCATTTAAAAATAAAAAAAAATAACTTGTGGAAAACTAAGGTATAATTTCTGTGGTTATTAAATTATAATTATTACATATACTAATGTAGAAAAGTTAATTATAAGATGTTAATTATGGTTTATACCTATAATTGCTAGTTAAGTTAACCCCTGATCACAAAGTACCAATTCCATGACAGAAAAATTTGACAAAAAAGTGGTTTGTGAAATTTTCTGCTGGAGACTTCCCACTAGATGATAGTTTAGTTGAATAGACAAGCTGAGGTTAATCGTCAAGATGTTATTTGTAAATAACCAATGTTATGAGACAGTAGGGAGTTAACATGCTGAAAACAATCAGGCGTCAACTTAAAGTCACTTTAATATGCATTTTCTATGTTACAAAATAAATATTTTACATTGCTACATAAAAATTTCTGTATTTAGGAACTTGAAATTGTTCCTCATTAGACGATGTTAGATAACTTATGATGAAAATGATTTACTTGGGAAATCAGAAAACAATCTGGTAGCTCATTTGAGAGTTAAAAAGAACTGGGGAAACCAAGATTCCAAAATTAAAAAACACACTTGTGGGCATGTCTTGATTAGCCAATCAAAAGACGTATCAAAGCTAACATAGAAAAATGAAAATAAGGTCAGAAGTTAGGGGTAGGTGAGTTATTAATTCATGTCTAGATAAGTTGACATATAAGACATGTGCAGTACAGACGACATCATTACGAATCTAAAGTTAAGACACAGTGAAGTTGACAGTTATATTTAACAAAAGGTTAATTTTAATTAATTTCAAGATTTTAAGTTTTATATTTCAGAACTATCTTAAAGGGGTCTCTATAAGTATGGTATTTAGGGTTTTATATATATATATATATATATATATATATATATATATATATATATATATATATATATATATATATATATATAAAACCTAAATACCATACTTATAATGTTGAATGGGCAATAAAACATAGCAATATTAAAGTTGAAAAATCAAAGTTAAATATTATATGGACCACTATATATTAATAAAATAATGGATATGTAATTATAATGTGTAGATTTTTATGAAAAATTATATTAACTATATTTTAAAGTAAACATTATATAATGCCTACAAGTTACTGTTGTAGCATATTCATTTCTCCGACATAGAACTTCAGGAAACTTTATAATATGCAGCTTTTCATATAAACACGGGGCATGGGTCATTTAAGTACTTACAAATTCCTGTTTTTTTTTTTTTTTTATAATTTTCCATTTTATGGCAGAGGTTTTATTAATTTCTTTTAAAAGCTAAAAATATTTAGAGAGGGATGTTCAGTTGCAGTACACATTGTTGTTAAATGTAGGTATATACTAATATCACCTCTGTTTAAAGAGGTTTTTTGTACTAACAATATAAAATTTCTTAACCAGGTTTTCAGTAGATGAAATGGTGTATTGGTAAACAATTGATTCAGTAAGACCTATTTCACAATGAGGATTTCTGCAATTACATAATTTACTATCATTATTATTGATTTCTGTTTTAGAATTACGATTGTTACTCTGATTTAAAATTTTATTATTATTTTTTTTTTTTTAAATAATTTTTCTAAGTCGTCATTATAACTGTAACTTAATTTAAGCATAGTTTTATTGAAAATCTTAGTAGATTATTACTAGGGAAATGTTTCTCAACGAAACGGAGAAACTTTCGCCCTAACATAGTGCTAACCATTTGGTAAAATGGGGGTGTGTACCAAATGATTTTTCTATTTATATTTTTTTGGGGGCTATGATTAATATCAGGGCATTTATAGCCACTATTATATATATATATATATATATATACACACACATACACAAAAGTTCAAAGCCACCCCCAAAATTAAATTAGCATAGGATAAGTGGAAAATAAATAAATAAGAGTTCTTAGAGTCACTGAAAAAAAAAAAAAAAAAGAATGGAATCAATTATCAAACTTATACTTTAATGAACTTTTGCAACGAATGCCAAAAATTTTAGTCAAAGCTAAAGGAGGATATTTTGACAAGAGCAAATTTCATCAAAACTTTTTTTTTTCTTTTTATCATAATAAAATTTCTAATAAAACAATCATGTCTCACATTTTTTTTTAAACTATATAAATAAATGCGAATGACAGTGTGTCACACATTTTCAACTTTACTCCTAGAGGCCATGGCCCAACATATACTATTTTGGAATCAGGCCAACTCTGTGAGCAAATTTCTTGTGACAAATGCTTTTTGTATTACAAGAATTTTTATAACTTGGAAATAAATTTGGTAATAATTGAAATTAATTGTGAAATCCAAAGAAAGTCACCTATGAAATAATAATTGTTTGTATGGAAAGTAAGGACCTAATTGTCTTTAAATTAAGTAGCAGCAGAAGAATTATCGTTGAACTTTTAAAAGGTAAGCTTAAATATTAATGCAATACTTAAATGCAGTGATGAATTTTGAGTTCTTCCATAGTTTATTGTTGGCTATCACATACAGCAGCAGTACGCTTTGCAAAAAGATATCTCTACCAATAGAAGACCAGATTGCAATCAAAAGATCCAAGGCTGTAGTGAGCAAAAGAAAGTCCCATGTAAATGAAAACCAAGATCAAACAGCAGCCAGAAGTTGCTGCCTAATAGGGTGGTTTTTAAGTTAGTGTATAATAATTTTTTTATTTAAGAGTACAAAACAACTACTTTTGGGGCCCAATTTAAAATTTTTATCTGTAGTGTGTGTGTGCGCATGTGTGTTTAAACTATTTTTATATCAATTATTTTCAAGATGTACTGTATGGAAGTTGTGCTTATTTTATAGCATCCAAAGTTATTTTATCATTTAATTACTTTGAATGGCAAGAAAAATAGACTAAAATTAAGCAGTTGAGTATTTCCTATTTTGTCCAGGTTTTATGAACAAAAGTTCTCACTAGCTAACTAAAATTTTTGTTTTAGTAATTTTATTTAATTTTTAATTTTTTAAAAGATTGAAATGCAAAAACAAAAAACAAATCATCATGTATTGTTTTAAAAACAAAGCAAAATATTAAAAGTATGTATGTCAATTTTCTAATTTCCATCTTTCCAAAACTCTAGTTACTACCTTTAGTTTGTAGCATAAATCAAATGCAATACTGATCTTGCAAAATAATTACACAAAACTTTGGTATCAAAATCAATTATATGATAAGACAAGTATAAATTTATTTTATAAGTTTTTGAAAGCTTAAATGCAAACAAAACATAAAATTATGAACAAAACAATTGTTAGCACAAAATACAAGCTTTAATAAAAACTTTAAATGCTACTGTTCAAAACATTACTGTGAAAATCCCACTGACTTAAATGCAGACATTAATAGCTATGAATCAACAAATCAGAGATTCTGGCAAACATAGTTTGTAGATTACCAAGTGAATTACATCTCCAAAAAGCAAAATTACATAAATTGAAAAGATGAATGTTTTCCCCATCCTAATTTTATAAATTAATTTTTACAGAATTTCTATATTCCATGAATCTGGCATTACCAGTTTAAGATTTTAAAATGTTCTATAATAGTGAAAACTCAAAAATCCAAATACCTGCAAATTTGTTGTTTTGAAAAATGAATATAAACTGATGAAATTAGAGCAATTCAGAAAACTTTTCACTTAAGCTAAATTCAATTTCAAATTTAGTTTGATAAAAGATAATGCAATGTAATCATCACAGTAAAAGATTTTAAAAAATTAACTGATAAGTAAAATAAAAAATGTCTTAAATTATGCCCAAAACTGCATATTTCATTAAATTAGAAAGATATTTTATTCACAAAGTGATAAAAGTTCTTGACCTGACCAAATATTAAAAATTCATTTCTTTTTGAATTTCTTAGAAAACTTTTTACTAATCACCATGAAATATAATGCTACTTTTTGGCAACAAAATTTTTTATGTTAAATTAGGAAACTTAAGATTTTGCACAAAGAATGTCTGAATAATGGAAAAAAAATGTTTAAAAACAAATAAGTAAATAATTCATAGCTTGATTAACATTTTTAGTTCCAATTTTCACTAGGACATGTCTAGAAAGAAAATATTTTTATGGCTAGAGTTTGAATTCCTAATATGAAGAGTATGCATAGTAAAACATGTAACTGTAGGTCAAATACAGATTTTGAAAATGCAAAATTATCACTGAATTTAGTAAGTTATTAACTCATGATCCAATATTATTTTGTTGCCAGGTCTGTCAGATGATTGGATATTTTTTCTTATTATTAGGTTATCTTATAAATTATTTAATAAATCAAATTCAACAAGATCCTTAAGAATGTGACTGAAAACACCACAGAACAAAGTTATGGAAGTTTAAAGAGACATTGTTTACCCTTGGCCTCACTTCCCTTCTGTGAGGATTAATGACATGGGCTTCAGAAAATAGACGGTCTTGGTCACCATCATAATACCTACAATTGGAGGGAGGAAAATTATTAGATTTAAAAGATATACAGAAGAAAAAATTAACCATGTAAAAAAGATACAAAATGACTTATCACAAGTAAAAATTAAAATTTTACTAACAAAGATTTTAAATTAACTTTTAAGAGTGATTACAAGACTATCAATAAAACAATAAATAAGCAAAAACTTAAGCATTTTCTTTTGCAAATGTCAATGTTGCATTTACTTCACATTAGTTTATGAATTTAATAGCCTAACCTAAATTTAAAGAAATTAAAAACTGTCTTGAAAATTATGCCTATGTTTATTAGTTACCATTTCCTCTGATAAGGATATAGGTTCATTGTTTCAAGTATTAATGATAATGTTTCATTCAAATTTATTCAAAGATATCTTTCTGGTATAATCCAGCAAAAATATTCCTAAACAGCACAGCATTAAATTAATACTGAACAGAATCAGTTAACCTAAAATTTTATATATATATATATATATATATATTACACACAAACACCACCACCAGCTTTGAGTATGAGTGACAAAAAAAAAAAAAAAAAAAAAAAATACTTTTTATAAACCATAACCTAGTCAGTTAATTTTTCTTCCTTCCTTTCTTTCTTTCTTGAGTTTAAAGAAAGTATAACAAGTTTTACTTTAATCTAAAAAGAGCAAGATATCAAAGAACCTCTTGAAAAGTACAAGCCAGATCACAATCATTTGACTGATATTTCATGTTTTATGACGCTGCCCTGTGTAATTGTTACAATAATATCAAAGGGATTTTTAGAACAAAAAAGTTTTTAAGAGCTCAATAGCATACATACAATATTATAGAAAAATAAATTCAAACAAATTACAAGCATATACAATGTATGTTTCAAAAGTAATGCCTCCTATTTATTTCTACAGAAATAGATACAAGAAGCACCATATTGATGGATAGAACAAATTTTCAGCTCCAAAATATTTTTCCAGTCATAGTAGCTATGTATTTTCAAGACACTCTTCATTTCAAAGATTGACAGGGCTGCACAGAACATGGCTTTTCACACAAATTGCTGTCACCATTGTTAAATGCATTAGCCATCACCTAACTTGCCTGTTTGGTTTCAGATGTTCAGTAAGCATCAATGAATGTCAATGGGTGACTTTTTTTCTGCATGGAGGAATTCAATGACATACCTCTGCTTTGTACATATTCATGTCAGACATCATTTTGCCAGACTGCTATCTGTAAATAGGCGCAAAAATTTATTGGCAGGATAACTCATCATCTGCCTCTGATGTTATGGGCCAACATAATAAAATAGGAGCAACTCTTGTATTAATGATGAGCTACATTTGTGAAAGTTATGAAAGAAATGATACTCAAATAGAGTATATTTTTATTCTTTAATCAAGATTCTAAAAAGATGCTACCCCAAATTTCAAGGAATTTGAGCAGTGTGTGGAACTGATGTGGCAGAGTGACCACCTTGCCCAAGATTTTAGTAGTACATGAATGTTATACAAGTAGTTATATGAAATAAATGTAAATGAGTATGGGGATACAGAATGTTGAGAAAACTAGGATTGGAAAAAACAAAGAAAACAGTAAATTAGAATGTATATAGAATGCTTGATTAAATGGTTATTTAGAATGTATAAAAAGACACTTGAAATTGGAATTGGTGAGAGTTGAAACATGCATTCCTAATTTAGATAGTGAATCTTTGAGCAAGCAAAAATTATCTGAATATAATCTTCACTCAAAATGCTTAACCCTACGCCAGAAAATAAATAAATATTTATGGGTTCATCAAGTGGCCAGTTTAGGGCATCTGGTTTTTGCCAAGATAATCTTTATTTGAATGAAAAGGTCTATGCGACAATTCCTGTGTATGAAAACTTTATAAACACAAAAAAAGTTCATGCCTGTATGCACTGGGTGAGAGCCACCCCAGTCAGTAAAGCCAGTTTTGTGCCCTAGATGTTAGAGATACAGAGCTACTTTTTGCCAGAGTTGGAAGAACACAGAGAAAAAAGTTGTCACTACTATTTTTAGATTGACCATAGTAAACAGCCTGAAAGGAAAGGAGTCCTTGTGTAGAGACTAGTGTTCATTCCAGCTACAATGATAATTGTATAGTTATTCCAATTAATAGTTATCAGAATGGCTGTGATTTGAATTCATTTTCAGATAAAAAGGTTTACAATGAGCCTGTTGCATATCCAGTAAACAACAACAGTTACAACATAGCAAGGAACAGATCATGGTATGACTGGTTGCAACGTAACAGGAAATGGCTGGTGTGGTAACATTCATAACTTGTCATCTGTCCCAACCTAGAGAACCAATGAGAGTTGCCACAGATAAAATACAAAGATAAATCAGAAAGTAAAAGGAATTTTGGAATTACATGGTAAAACCAAGAGGTACTGATGCAAGACACCACATGTGCATGGGATGATGGGTAGCTAGCTGTGAGCATCATTCTGTCATTCAGTCAATTGGCAGGGAGATTGAAGTCAGATATATGGATGCTCCGCTCAGTGAATGCACCATCAAGGAACATTTACACCGTAGTGTGGGCAGAGAGAATTAAACTTGCAGCAGATATCCATCAACCGGATGTTGCCACAGTATGGAGCATGCATCATAAATCAACAAAAGTGTGTATGAATGAATAGAATGCTTTAAAAGCAGGAAAAACAAGTGTAATGGACAAAAGTGGATCTGGTTGTTCATCTAAATTACACATGAAAGAACCCATACAAAGTATAGATGCCTTAACCAGGGAAGGCTGATGATTCCCATTAGCACAAGTGGTAGCAATCATGGGTATCAGCTATGGCTCTACACAAGCCAGAGTACATGAGCACAGTAAACTTTGTGCATGTTGAGTGCACAAACATGGTTTCATAAGAAAACCAAAAAGCTTCTTTTAAGAAAGGAGGAAGAAGCTTGTTGAACAATACCAGGTGCCTTAATGTGCAGGGGGGGGATTGGGGCTAAGTAAAAAAATAACACATGCATTTGTTCTTAAATGTGTTGCATTGAAATTGCCTTTACTTTTTTTTTTAAACCCTCATGTAATATGATAGTGACAATGCAGTCAGTGAAGAGTGTCCAGAGTCCTTAAGGCCTGTTCTGTTGCTGACTTTACAGTGAATGAACTTTCCCAGTACACATTGTGAACCAGTGTATAAAAAAAAAAAAAAAAAAAAATAATTGTGGTTTGATTTTAAATACTTCAAGGATACAAGATGTTAGCGACAAGTGTTCACAATGATACTATACAAGCATGACAAAAAAAAAAAAAAAAAAAAGATATAAGAGAAAGTATGAGCATATCTGGAATATAAGAAAAGCTGAATGTTTTTCTTAAAATCCATAATCACTCACACACACTTTTCTTCTCTTTTGTATGTAAGATTGTTATATTAGACTGTTTAACACAGATGTCCTGAACAATACATTTTATACTGAAATGGTTTACTAATAACCATTGCATTATTATCAAAAAATACCAGTTTCATCACAAAGATCATAACTGGTGATGAATTATAAGTTTATGGTTACAGAGAAAATAGTAGAAGTTATGACAGTGGAAGTTAACAATCAACAAGGCAAAGAAAAAAAAAAAAAAAAAAAAAAAAATTAAATCAATAATGACATCCAAGACATTGTCTAGCAATGCATTCATTCCCTGTTGAAAACTAAATAGCAATTTTTACTGTTACATTTTGAAGAGAGCATTCATTTAGTACAAAATATTTAGACAAGCAGAAGTAATGACTAGGCTCTCCACCATAACAAATCACCCAAACACTGTCATTCAACAATTCCCGTTTTTCATCCCATCTTCACTATTTACTTTTTCCTATTTCCAAAGATTTATTTCTGGCTGAAACAACAGTTTTGAAATAATTGAGATTATCCAGGTAGAATAAAAAAAATGATGCTTGTCACAATAACTTGAGGGCTTCCAGTAACACGGAGCTTGAAAAAGGAAAAAAAAAAAAAAAAAAAAAAAAAACAAAACACAGATTGCTGTATGTCCAAGAGTATTATGGTAGAGATGTTGAAAGGGAATATTAGGATATTTTTTTTATGGTCAAATTCCCAAAACTTATAGGTAGCATCATATACAATGGAGCAGAAGTAAAAAGTCTCAGCATTAGATGCATCTTCATTAGTTTGCATACGTGAGGTTATTCAAGATTCAATCCATCAAAAATATATTAAAACAATGACTATGTAAAAACCAGACTTTTAGTTTGAAAGCAACTATTAATAACCATCAGAGCATATATAATTTCATATACTCAAATTACATAAAAAAAAGTTTTAAAAATCTCAAAATTATTTTAATATCAATCAAATATATCAAAATATTAATTTTTAGTTTTCAAAAACTGCAGCATGGATGACTTTTTTTAATAAAATAAAACTTAAAAATTTCCCAAGAATTAGAAATACATGACAAAAATAAAAATAAATGTATTCCAGCCAGTAGATCCCAAAATTCTGTTTGTTCAGTTATTTTTAGATAACATACCAAGTCATTTAGAGAAATAGGAAATTAACTATTCTTTTAAAATAAATGTATGAGAAAAAGTTTAGTGTTTGTTTCTATGCAGGCAAATCAAAAGAAATAAAAATGTTATAACAAAGAATGCAAATATATAGTCAAATTTAGATAAAAGTAATACTTTAGGATACACATTCCACACTTGTATAATCTCCATACATTTTTAAAAAAATGCTAAAATTCAAGGTAAGTTTTTGAATCTACAGTTGCAGTAAAAGTTCCTCGCATTTACCACATATTTACAAATATTATAATAAATCTAATTTTCAGAAATCAAAAATGTAGATATAAATTTATTTACATAAGAGATTATACAGACTTCAACACAAAATAGTTATAAATTAAGATGAATTTATTTATTTTTTTTTTTTTTACTTGCATAAAAAATAGAGAATCTAAGTACAGTAAAATACACAAGCTTACATCAGACATGTGAAAAATTTTATTTAGCTAAAATTGTAGCATGGAAATAAAGTCACAAATTGAACAACATGTTTTAAAGATGTATAGCATACTAAGCAACAAATTATACAATAATTTAGTATCACATGAAGTAAATTTTTAATATCAGTCACATAAGCTGTTTTTTAGAATATCTATTGTCCTATAATGTATTAAAGAATCAAAGCACAACTTAAACCAAATGCATTGTTGAAAACCCAAGCAGTGAATTGTTTACTGAATTCATTTAGGAAAAGCAGTAGCAATTTATCACTTGCTTACTAAATTAAAAACAAATTAAATTTTGTAAACAAAAATAACAAATAAAGGAACAATATTTAGAAAATTTGTAAGAATGTAATATGGAAGTAACATTCACTTAGTTACTGATAATTTGTATGACAAGTTAGTTATATAGGCATAGTGGTAGAAATTGCTGGTTGAAGAAATCTCTTAGGTACAAGAGTTAGTTTGATGGTTCACACTTGAAGCTAGAACAGATACAAAAGTTTACTTATATTACAAGGAGTTGGACAGAGAGAACTTAGGACAGTTCCATAACGTTAGTTGACACATACAATTTTGATGTGTGAAGATTATAGAATAAGACAGTAAGATTATTGGAGAAAGTATAGCTTCCACATTTCATAAATATCATTTGTTTTATTATTTTTATCCTTTTTTATTAGAACATTAATTTTGTTACTGCTGTTTAGCAAATTTAATAAAAATTGTTTCGGTAAAAAATTACTTAGTAAGCAGGCAATAATTCACTACTGCTTTTCCTAAGTGAGTCTGGTAAATAGTAATCAAGCCAATTGTATAAACTTAACTGCAAATACTTTTTAATATGAATATCTCTATAAAAGAAATATTTTCCATATTTCCAATTAAAAATGAGATTTCATCCATTTAAGATTAACAGAGTAAGGAATTTTAATGTGCCAAACTCGTATAAGTTTATAATACAGACCGGTATTTCCATAGAACATTATTTCAAATCAAGTTTAATGTGTATGTATGTGTGTGTGTGTGTGTGTGTGTGTGTGTGTGTGTGTGTGAGTGAGTGAGAGAGAATGCAAACCTTATCTAATAAGAAAAAAGTTAAATACAATGATTTTATTTTCTGTCAAAAGTTTTGCAATTCACTAACATCTTGAACTACAAGTGTTTTTAAAAAAAAACAGTTTGAAGAAACCATTTTTCCTTCAATGCATCAAGATATTTGGTTTCTAAAAGTCTAGCAACTGTATTATAACTGCGTCAGATTTTAACCAATAGCATAGCTGCAGTTACATGTCCTCTTTCTACGCTAGTAACTAGTAGTTGTCTCCCTTAACATCGAGTAATTCTACCTTTTAAATAAAATGTATTGCCAAATCTATTTTTGGTAATTAGTAACTGTCCATAGTGACTGTCCTTATAATCTTTGATTGCATTAGTACCAGGCCAAAATCAATACATAAATTCAGTAGCTTAAGTACCATGCACCAATACATACAAATGGCTCCATTACATTTATTAAATACATGACAATAACTTTAAACAAAAATTTAACTTGAAAACTTGGTTACAATTATCATAAATTTAATTTGAGCAAGAAAAAAATAAGACAATTGTAATAAATATTGAAGCTATTAAATTATCTTGCTAAATTTGGCATCACTGTGCCAATAAGTACAGACTTTGAGCATAAATAGTGAGAGCAATAACTGAGCAGTACGAAATAACAAAATGAGATAACATACAGGTGTAGATTAAGGGTTCAGTTAGAAGTTCCCTGAAGGCTATATGGAAGGCCAAAACCAAAACATTGTGATAAAGATGAGTACAATAGGCCAAATGTAAATAAAAACTAAGTCACAAATAAAATATTTCAAGATTTGTTTTTAGCACTGACATGATATTCACATTTCTTTCAAAATACTTTTGCTAGAATCCATTTGTTACATGTACATCAAAAAATATAACACACAAACCAAAAAAATTAATGTAAAATGTTCTACCAAAAAGTTTCAGATATTCAAACTGTGCAAGTGAACCAGATTTCAGCACCCTTTTTGAGATAACTATCGACACCTTCAAAGATGATGATGAAAACTCGTATGCAATCATTTTTAATGGTTAAATTACATAAGCTTTTTATAATTACTTAAATAGGACATCTACAGAATTTCTAAATACAAGGATTATGCATAATGATTCAGTGAATTTAAACAAAACTCCAATAAACTAATTTATAAAATCAAAGACATCTTTAAGATGCCACGCCACCCCGTCCAGAAAAGAATTTTCACTTACCTCTCCATTAATCTTTCCTTGTCCCAGTTAAAATGATTTAAAAGTATTCTTGTTATGGTAGCGGGTATCTAGAAGATAAAATAAGCAAAATGCATGGAAAACTGAAAGTTTTTTTTCATTATTATATAAATTTAGGGCTCATAAAATTAACAATCACCAAATTAAGTGCATTGACAAAATTGACAGCATTTATGAAGAAAAATAATGTTTTGAAAAAAAAGAAAAAAAGAAAAAAAAAAACCTTCTTTATAAAGTTATGAGTGACTTATTGATGTACCTGCAGGTTTCAGTAAAAATAAAGATACAAATGGCTTGGTTATCTCCAGACACACAGTGTTCCACTAATTTTTATGAAGATTCCATTTTATGAATGAAAAAAAAAAAAAAAAAAAAAATGCAGCCACCTAAATCATAAACACTTAGTCAAGGAAGCAGGCAGCATAGGTTTTCCTTAAAATCTATCAGATTCTGCAGATACCAAGAAAGCATAGTACTATTTGCATACTGCCTTCTCAAAATTGTTAACCAGAGTTGTACAATATATAATAAACATATTAACATTTCCTGATCAGTTTAGACATTACGAATTTAATCTCGTAGCCATATACACATTCATTATAATCTGACTAGATCAATATTTCAGATAGGAACAATGGTATTCAATAAAGTACAACACAAATAACTTCTCAATGTTATAAAAGCTTAACCTACATGGATAAGATATAGAAATAATTTGTCACCAGTACAGAGAACAATCCAAATAAATCAAGAGAATATCCTAAAGTAAAAAGAGGAGTATGATCAGATGACATGAAAATCAAGTAAGTGCAGAATTTAAACTATGTCAATAGCATTATGATAGTATGAAGAAATAGTAAAATAGGCTTTTCAGAAATTGATAACATATCTAAGGATTGAAAGTGTTACTAAAACAAGATTGCTGGACAATATGTTTAATTTTCTATATGGTAGTGAATGCTGGACAATTTTATCAAATCTCAAAAAGAGACTAAGTGACAAAGATGTTTTCTACCAAAGAATACCATGGACAAAATATCAGAAATAAGGAAGTTTTATAGACAATAGGAAATAAAGAAATTATTGCTAACAATTAGAAAGAAAAAAAAAAATATTGAAATGTAATATAATAGATAAGGCTTTACTCAAATTCTATAGATAGTTCATAAAAAAGCTTTTTAACTTAAGCATAATAGTAGGTACCTTCAAAAATTTTCTAAAGTGTATACCATGATGAAAAAAGGCCCCAAACTTTGATAAAAAATAAAGTTTTATTTGTCAGAATGTTTGTTGTTATTAAGAGGAAAGACCAAAGTATTTTTTGATTATTTTATTAATTTTTTTTTAAGCCTTTCTAGCACATTAAAAAATTTTGGTTAAAAATATTTTTTCTCATATGAGCGGGTGGGCCAAAAAAAGGTTAGTATGGGAAATTTCAGCATCTTTTTTTGGCATTAAAAACACATTGTTTTGAAAATTCTTGCAAAAATCAAATACTTGTCAGATTTTAATAAAATTTTCAGGACTTATTCAAAAATGAATTCATTTTTTTTTTTTTTAATAGATTATCCCCACTTAATTTTATGAAATTTTGAGAATAAAATTAGTCTCTTCATAAGAGTTAAAAGCAGGACTCCTTGGAGAATTTAAATCAATTTGTTTTTGTAAAACAGAAACATTTACCAAAAATTTGCTCTGAATTGCAAAATAAAAAATGCAATAAAGCTGACTATTAGAAAAGCTTTTAATCGTTTTTATAAGTATATGAAAGACATTATTGTCATAAGGAAATTTCTCGATGAATAATAAATTTTTACAATTTTCATTTTTTTCAAATTCTAATTTAAAGAATGTTTTAAATCTTAAAATTCTGTATTAATTTAACCCTTTTAGATGATATTAAGTGAAAACTACATTAACTAACCATAAATGAAAAACTTAATACAAATCATCAAACACCAATATTTTTAAAAGAATTCTGAATTTTTTTTGTATGTGGATAACTATAGTAAATTTAAATCCAGATGAATTATACTTTAAATTAGCTAATATTCCTCAAATAAAGTTTCTGAAAAGTATATTTTATTTTTGGAAGATTCAATAAAGAGAATTACATTGTGATGAAAGACAACGAAGAAGGTCACTAATAATAATAAAACCTTCCCATCAATTTAAATTATTTTTTGAAATAGAGCAAAGTATTTTTCTTATTGGAAATATTAAATGTAATCTATTAACTTGAAATTAAAACTAAAATAAAATCTTGAAGGAAGATTTTTCATTTTTAAAAATTCAAATCTTAGGTATAGCAATTTTGTGGAGGTCTCAACATAATTGTACAATTTGTAATTGCCTCCAGTTGTAATTGACAATGATTACAAGATGTATTTGAGGATATTTACATCCTAAAATCTGACTAAATAACCAAACAAATTTTTGGAGGAAAAGAATTGATAAATCCAAAAATTTCCAACAACACTGTACTGAGAATTTGTTACCTGGGAGGTAAATAATTTCAGTTTAGCTTAAACTGTCTAACAACAATGAAAATGATCTAACAGCAATATTAGACAACTTGTCAAATAGTTATAAGAGAACATGAAACTGATAAAATGAGAAGGAAAAATTTGTAATAGAACAATTTTATATGCAAATTACCACAAATAAAGTTAGACATGACTAGAAAAAGTTACCTCTCAGATCTTTTGAAAAATGAGTTCTAAAATGTTTACTCATACACATTCTAATGAGAAAATTTCAGTGGTTCTAAAGAGAAAAAAAATATTTAAGTAAACTAGACCAAACAAAGATCTGATCTGACATCTAATTAGTCAAATTATTGAGTTCATACAGGGTTGCAAGCAAGTCTTTAAATGCAGCCAGTTAGTTTACAGCAAAATAATTTTAAAGGATAAGAAAGTAGCCAAGACGGACTACAAGTGATTGAAGCTACATCACAATAGTACCGATTGAGCAAATGGACTCTGGACTATCAAGGTGAGTCACACCGGAAAAAAGAAAGGTGAGCACACTATTTGTATAAATAAACATGCACAGTGACTGAACCAAACAAGCCTATAATGATGGACTTTATGATAGCAATTTAAAATTTTCAAGAGAAACAGAAAACCCAAGTACTTCAATAATGGAAATATACATGGAAAAAAATATTTTTTTTACCTAATATTTGATTTTTCAAATAAACATTTTTACAATTTCAAAATCTAACAAAACTTGAAAGTACAATGTTTACTTAAGCAACTGACTTGAAATTAAAACTGAATTATGAATATATTTAGTCATCCAGATTCTGTTCACATCTGGTGTATACCATATTTTTTTGTGTTAGTAGAAAGTCTTTTTTATAATCTCATCTAACCTACACATGCAGATTTCAAGATTACCCAAGATCACTATTCAATACTTTTAGAAGTTATTTGCCATGTGAATAATCTAGAATTTTAAGCAAAATGTAAATTTAACATTGCTATAAAGTATATCAAATTCAACTCAATCATAAAGGCATTAAATTATAACTTTTAGGATTAAATTAAATATAACTATTTTTTAAGTAGATGACCAAATTAAGTAATAAATTTGAAGACAATCCGGAAAGATTTTTGTAAACATTTCCATCAAAACGAGTTTTAAGCAAAATAAATGTAATAAGCAGGATATAAATATTCCTATGTATAAGCATATTTAATTATATGCAATAGTTAACCAATTTAAAAAAAAAAAAAAAAATCAGGTCATTAACACAGACATTTAAGGACAGAACAAAATATATAAAAAAATAGTAATTAAAGTGTAAAGAGATTAAATACAAAACTATAAATTTATATAGTAATCTGTCAAAATCCAAATAGATTAAATATATTTGTATTGGTATTTCAGAATAACTTTTAGATATAATTCTGAGCATTATTGTAATGATGGATGTAATTATGCATTTATTTATAACAAATGAGTTTCATGAAATACCTAAAAGAACTTTGTAGAAAATCCAAGTAATTACTAAGTAAGCTTTTCCTTTTTTATAGCTATACTTTTATTACCTAAGGAAAACTTTTACAAATCATGAGAACTAATTCATGCAACACAGCTGTAATTTATGTAGCTGAAAACTAGAAAAGTTATAGCCTATAAAGCATGGCATAATTTTTAAACTAATAATCTAATAAAAGACCCATTGCCAAATGTTTTTTTTCAGAAAAAATTTAAAATTTTTGATGGATACAAATCAATATTTCTAACAAATGGCCTGATAATTTATATATAAAAAAATTAAAAGTTTGTGGCATTTATTTTATTTTTCAGTAGAAATGTTCCTTATTAGTTATTTTTCAGTTAAATAACTAAGTGGATAATACAGAAGCTTTAGGCGATAACAACCGATCAAGTAGATTATGAAAAATAAAATTTTAAAAGTGTATAAAATCTGCCTTATTTTAAAAGTAAAATATTCATAAATGGATTTACAACACAAAAACTTAAAATTGTCTTAGCTTGCAAACATTTAACACCTCACTGATTACAGAATATTCGCTAATAAAGTGCAACAGAATGCAAGCATTAACCTACACCAAGTATCTTTCATAGCTTAAAACCCTTTATTCATCATAGTGAATCCAGAGTATATATCTCAAATATCAAACCATAGATTAAAAGTAATACCATTTACATGAATAGGGGTTGCATTCAGTATTTTCACAGTAAAACTTTAATATACATAAAATTCTGAAAAATAAACACTAAACACTAATTGTGTAAAAATACTCAATAGTTGATATAAATGCAACATGGAAATTTTACAAATGCAATCACAGAAAGTAATGTACCATTTATAATTCCATGCTGTATTAAGTGAAGAAATTTTATGTATTAATTTGATATTAATATTACATATAGTCTGCTTATTTTCAATGAGAAAAAAAATGTAATAATACATGAGCCAAATGAATAATTGTTCTCTTAAGTAATCTAACAGTTTTACTGCAAAAATGTTAATCATTTTCTTAGGAATTTTATATTAAGAAATTGTGTAAAA